AAATTTTAGTTGACGTAACTAAACTCTTTTCTCATTGTATATTACAAATACAATAAATTGGTCGTCTAATTCTTTACCCTTATTTAGATGATCCAGCGCATGATTTCTGCAAAGGCTGAAGGCAGCCGTAACCGGTTTTCTTCTAAACCAGATTCGATAAGGGATGATGCGAATTTGCATAAACCTCAGTCCATAAAAATTGAGATTCTAAAGAAATGTATTTATAGTACCATTTGATTTTTAAGAAATGCTGCACGTGCACGTAGGACTGCTTGCGTCCCAATAATCTACTAGCCGTGACATCACATATCTGCTTCCATAATATCTTGAAAAAGTGCAACTTTGTTAAGAGTTTCACCGTGTCATTTAGGTACGTATCAGAGCTGTAAAATGATTGAATCAATAGGATCTGCATTCACTCGACATCCTTTTCAAAATTTTGATTGTTTGCTTGTATAAAAAAAGCCTCATTCCTGAGTGGCTTAAAATGCTTGAAAACAAATAAACTGTGTTGTGTTTTTGAATGGTAGATTGACATTCAGTATGGAATGTGAATGTAACAGAAGCATTCGCACACACACATGATTGTATATTTAAAATGAATGCACACGTTTTTACCATTCAGTACTAATACTTTTTTCCCAGGGTTGATATATTTTATACTTTAAAGTTTAAACATATCTGGAATTGAAAAAAAACATATATGTATACGTATGTATGTATTTCAACGCGTATGTATAGACGTTTTCTGACATTAACCCATGGCTAATGACTGGTGCGAAATCAGTCCAAACAAACATCGCAACCGTCGAGCACAAAGGACACATCTTGATACATACATTTACATATATTAGATTCGAAACTAGTGAACTGTATATAGAAATATAAAACAGTGTCAACAGAATTGAGTTTTTAAAACTCTTGCTTGAAAAAACTTAAGAATTTCATTACCGGCATCTGTCCCTTCGTATTATAGACTTTTAGAACTATAAAAGGTCTATTCTGCACGTAACCGGAAAATTTTATTACCAAAAAATGTTACCTGTTCATGTCACCGCGATTCTAGGAACGTTGGTAATGCTATATATTCAGCAATTCAGCCATGAAGAATTGTGGAAATTCTGGCATTGAATATTTCACGGGGCGGGGCAATATTTTGTTACCAGCTTATGAGATGGTAACAAAATTTACCGGTTACAAGAGTACACCAATTGCGAAAAGGGTTTAAAAATTGATTGTAGACATTTTTTCCCAGAATATGTGTATATATAAATTTAATTTATATGATTTTTTTTCTATTAATTTTTTTCTTCAGTTTTCAAATTTGAAAACTTTCAAAACGAAATTTTATAAGGCTTCTTGTTTTCTTTATAGAGGGGTTGAGGAGTTACATTGTAAATTTTTTTAAATTAATTATTAATTAAAAGGTGTACTATTTAAACATATTTACTACGCACTTCTGCAGTAGGGTACTATAACTTTTCTCACGTAACGGATATTTGGAACAACCAAAATCGAGATAGATATATACTACATTTATATACACATGTATGTATATACCGTAAATGCCCAGAATAAAAAGAGAAGTTGACTAGTTCATCTCCATCTGTCTGTCTGTCCGTTTGTTTGTGTACACGATAACTCTAGGAAAAATTGAGATATCGGAAGAAAATTCGGTACGCGGGTTTCCCTTTATGCAGGGCAGAAGCGTATTGAAAATACAAAAATTAAACAATAACCTGGTCCCTCCCATAAAACGGTAATTTCGAAAAATTCAAAAAATTCAATATTTCCTTAATTACAGAAAACAAATTGCTAAAAAACTCACATGTTTATTATTATACATTTTTGAAAAATGGGACATATTTCTAACTTTTGAAATCAATTTGCTCAAAACATACATTTAGAATAATGTTTTAAGAAATAATTACACCCGAGCGCATTTGTGCACATGGGTATTATAACTTTGTTCGCATAGCGGTTGTTTGTTGTCTAGCCCTTCAGGTTAATAAAGATTGTAGAAAACGATTTTTGCTTGTGTGGGGTCCCGTTTGATTCCCAAAATTGGAAGGAACTGATTTTTTCAAATTGCAAATCCTAATAAATAAATTATTTCTAAAATAGGTTACAGCAGACAATGTTTAATCATTTTTTATTAATATACCAACAACACCTGATTGGAAGATCGACCTATCTCGGCAGCCAATTCAAAAACGCCCTAACTCAGAAAACTTTTTATGAAAGTCCTACTTCAGAATTTGGTTGAAGAACGCCCTATCTCAAATGAAAATATATTGAAAATTTGCCGAGATAGGGCGTTTTTGAACCGCATTCTGAGATAGGGCGTTCTTCAACAAAATTCTGAAATAGGGTGAGATAGGGAGTTTTCGAACTGGCTGCCGAGATAGGTCGATCTTCTACTTAGGTGTCGATATGTAGTTTTGATGTTAACAAACAAACCAAAAAAAAAAGCGTGCTCAATGAAATGGGCATAAATTCATAAATATTGCACTTTCGGAAAAGGATGTTAATGAAAATAGAGACCAACGAATTTTGTTAAATATTTTTTTGTTGGAAATGTCCACAAACCAACAAATTCGATTTTCGAATCTTCATTAACTGCTTGACCCAATAGCGACGAAAAACAGTACGAAGAAATTTGTATCAAAAATTTTTATAATTAAATAATGAAATGTATATGTATGTCTAAAGTTAGAACCAGAAGCTCTTAAATTTGTTAGTTTATATTAACTTATATATGTATGTACTAATTTATGCATTATGCATTATTAATGGTATATTGGTAACACTTTTTTGGAAAGCTGACAATTTTCTAAACAGAGATGTTAAAATCATTAATAATTTATATTTTTCATAATGACATTCTAACGACACGTTCACTAAAAAATATTTCTCCAATTAATATTTTTTATTCTTATAAATCCTTGTACAAATTTAAGAGAAAAAAACTGATAATAACGCTCTATTACCTATTTTGCGTGTTGAATTTTTGCAGTCTTTTTAATAAAATGCAACCTGGCGTATTTTTCAGTGGGTTTTGTGTGTTCAAAATATTTATATCAATTGATTGGTATTGTGGATGTGTGCACACATAGCAAAAGCTGCATTCATCTGAGTGCTTATTCAGTGTTAAAAGTGAATCGTTCGTCATTCAATTTTTTCAATCTTTCTTTGAATATGGAAATGTGTGCAATCGTATCTACTTTGAGTGAATGTAGAATTGGAAAACTTTAAGCCGCATTATTCAATAAGGGAGAGTTCAATGAAAACATAACAATATAAAATTGATGATTTTTAATTTCAAATGATTTCACAGTTTTACAGCTCTGGTACGTATAACCGACTTTTTTGGGTTTTCGGCAACATACAAGGCAATTGGCCGGATGGCCGGTTCAGTAAGGCGCGGTGCACGAGCTACAAATATGCCACAACGCATCACTCCGGACAGGCGCTTGATGTCATCTAATGCCGTCACAACATCATGCTTCACCCAGCCACATCAGAAGGCATCTCTATAGGCTGAAGCACGAGGTTCAGCACTACGTATAATAACCGCCACTTTATCCTTTGAATGTCGTCATCAGTGTCCAATCCCCCCCTGTGGACGAGAGTGAGCTTCAACTGTCGCGAGAGGTCCGCGCGAGACTCAGTTGAGTTTTGGATATTGTAGCCGTCTCAACTCCTACCTGCACAGATTCGAATCCAGCATCACTAATGAGTGTCCAGCCTTTGGAGAATACCCCAACGATACCAACCAGCTCTTCACATGCACACTCAATCCAATTCAACTAACACTCCTCTGCCTTTGCTTCTACACCGCTTGATGAAAACGATTGAATGAATATCCGATCTAATTAGGGTAAAGTAAGCCGCTACAATAACTACAACAACATCGCCTTTGCTGGCATCCAAGTTTTCAAATTCGAATTTCTGTTCTTGATGAGCGGCCTGTTAGTGCAAAGTATAACCTAAACGGAAATATCTGGTCTACGCTGGACAAGCGTAGATCTCGCCCTTTCCACTACTTGGAGCGACCACTGCTGCGACTTGTTATTGGAGTTCTCACCCGCCATTGCCTGATGGGAACCCACGTCACTATAATGGGTTTGCAGTCAAACGACTACTGTCGTAGCAGCCGTGATGAGGAGGAAATCGAGTGCGTAGGGCACTACTTATGCAACTGTCCTGCTCTGGCGAGAGCTCGTCGTTGCTCGTTTCTCCATTATTATTTTGGATGTCTGGCCGAACTTGATTCAGCCAATATCTATGACTTTGGGCGCTTCATAAGAACTACGGAGTGGTTCAATTTCTAATATGGCATCACAACGATCCCATGGTAGCCTAAGTGTGCCCTTTTTCTGAGGAATGAGGACAGCCGAGATAACCTAACCAAACCTAACCTAAACGGAAATATAATCATTTTGACAGGGTAATTTGCTTAATTAGGCCAGAGGGAAAATAAAAACACCAACAACGAAAATGAGAAAGTAAAAACCATTGCTTTCTAAAAAGTGGTATGAAATCCAGAATTGTTTTGAAGGTCTCTTTACTGTCTGGTAATTACCTATATTTTGCTTCTCATCTTGAAGAGTTCCACATTCTTTACTTTCTGAACCTTAGCGCCCAATTCGTTGTAATTTTATTCAGGTGCAGACCTATGAAAGCTAGATTGTGGTTAAGTTTAGATAGGATTATAGCGCACTATTTAGACTCCACCTACTTGTCTCTCTTGCGGTTTTAACTGATAAAAATACTCGCCAAACACTTTTGAGGAATGCTGTTGAAGTGACAGTCCGAGGCGAGAAATAAATCGGGGTCGTTCCGGTAGCGTAGACCCGATTACTTAAAATTCCGTTGCAAGTATAGTAGGCTCAATATTCCAGCTTCTGAATACTTCATAAAAAAAATAGAAGTTGTGGATGGCCCATATATTTAAATTGGATCGATCACCCTAATGCTGGTACACTTTTTCTGTGCAAGTTTGTGCTATTTACTTTTAGTAAAAATAAATATGTACATTGTCTTTTGTTTTGCTCTGCAGCAGAAGGACAGCGTCTAACTGTAGGTGGAAAATATTATGAAAATTTAATAACATTGCGACAGTGAACTGCCAAACTGCGGCGTCAGGGCGTCATGACAGAGTCGAATGCAATCGCACAAGAATCGAACGAGTCAGACGAGGATTGCGAGGTTTACTGTGAGTATCATAGGCTGCTTTCACAATTAGCTCAATGGTTGAGAGAGGTACATAATCCTCAGACTAACGAGCTCTGGCGCTGAACCTTATCAACTAATATTTTAAACTCTTTTTTCCAGTTCTTAAACCAGTCAATGAGTACAACATCGTTGAGAAAATCATAGAAGCCAATAAGGTGTTATTTGAGGAGATAACGACAGTAAACGACAAGACTTCGTACTCAGAAGGCATTGCCGCCGCGGGCAACTTGGTGACCGATTCAGAAACTGGTGCGTCCCTACGAAAAGTGACCTTCGCACCTAATTTAGAAACATACGAACCGGACAACGCACTCTTAGAGGCATTAAAGCTGACACGAGAATTCGAGGAGGCAGTAGCCGAAGCAAAAGAACTCGATCGCAAGTTAACAAATATTTGCGCATATCAAACAATTGTTGAAGAAGCGAACATCAACGACGAAGCGCAACCAGACACAGATGCTGATGCAGCTGATGCGATAGATCAAAAAGTCGCGGAAACTCTACTCTCAACAGAGTTAACGGAAACAAACGCCGCGAATATGCCATCGCCAATAGACGAAAACTCAAGCGTAGTACCGGAGCCGAATGTTGAGGACGATATTGTAGAAGAGATATGTGAGGAAATTGTAGTTATGGACATGGAGAGCGAGCAAGCACCGCCTGAGACGTCCGATGCGCAAGTGAGTAATCCACGCCGCATGGTGAAGCTGCGCACATTTGATTGTGCAGAAGAGGATCCACCTGATACGATTGAGACAGAGCAGGACAATAAAAGTTTGGTTAACCTCCTGACCTCCGATGGTGAGGAAGAGTGCTGTAGCGCTGCCACATTCGATATCGACGTGGACAACAGTGATCTCGATGTGGACGATATTGACGTGGACACAAGCACAAATGAACCGGACGGCAATGCCAATGCAGATGTCGAAGAAGCGCTTAATTCGGCCAATAACGATGGCACCAGTGCAGAGGGTTATGGCGATGATGAGGATGATGATGATGACCTCTCAATCATAGTCGCCTCCTACTTACCCAATGACTTCGAACAGAAACGCTTGGGCAGCGGTCGACGTAATGCGGCGAATAAATCACGACGTCTGCTAGCGCCATTAAGTAAACGCTTCTCATTTCGTCGCAAATCACTTGCACGCAACGCCATTGGCACAACTTGCACAAATATCACCGAAGATGGCGGTAGTAATAGCGCTCTGTCACGCGTGCGCCGGCCACATCTACCACCACCGGAAGTCACCGATTTGAAGTTAAACTATCGCACCTGCTGCGAATATCGCCGTCAGTTGTCGGAACCTGAAAAGCTACCCAAATACACGGGCTATCTGTCCGAGTATGGGCTGAGTCGACAGCAGCTCGAGCTGCGTGAGGAAAGTCTGCAACGCAAGCAACGTTATGCGCTACAGCAGGCGTTGGAGGCAAACGATGCCGAAATGAATAAGATGCATGACAATGAACGCGCCTTCACCACGTGGTTGAGAAACAAAATGCGCTTCCCAATCAATAAGACGCGCAATATGTTCGATGTGAAGCGACGCAGCTTGGATGTTGGGATGGGCGGAGGTAGCGGTGGCGCTTGCGGTGGTAATAGCGCAGTGCGAAATGGTAGCGGAAAACGGAAATGAGAGGAGGGAAGGCGGAGGAGATGGATGATAGTAAGATGGATTTTCAGTGAAATTTTGGGTTAGTAAAAAGGTGTAGTAATCAATAAATATTTACTTTATACGATGTATAGTTCAAAGTAAATTTCACTACTTTCTATTTTTTTGTGGTAATTTACTTGTTTTCCTCCATACATCGTTTAAACCAGTGATTCCCAAAGTGGTACAGGTGGACCCCCAGGGGTTAACGGGAGACTCGACGGGGGTCCACGCCGGCGTTTAAAAATATGGCGTCCACGCGCTGAAAGTGGGGGTCCAGGAAAATTTATCGAGTTTCGATGGTGAAGAACCAAAATGGTTGCTTAATAGCCTCTTTATTTAACAATTTACTTATTTTTGAGTGTTGTATAGTGCTCTTGACGAACTACTGTCTTCATACGTGGGACAACCATAAAGGCCACCTGCAGAGTAAAACGAAACGGACGTTGGTATAACACTGAGTGGGGCGAGGCGGAGATCGCTGGCGGCAGAGATTTGAGCACTTGGTGTCTTTTTAATGCCACATGATAGTACGCCACCATTGCCTTTGTTGAAGAGATTCTATAATGTTTAGTTCCCTGAGGCTGAATGCTGGTTTAATTCAAGCTCTGAACTCGTACTCACACATTGCCGAATCTTCATTAATGGCTCCAAAACTGACTCTGGGTCAGAATCTGGGGACTTGTTCGAAGTTAATGCGGATATGCTTCACCTTCCGCTTGGGAAATGTGCTTCGGTCTTATAGGCTGAGGTATTTGCAATCCTCAAAGCCAGGCATTGACCAGCCCTCTATCTAAGTACTTCCAAACTAGTTCGGCAATGCAAGTCACGACTAAATTATGTTCGTAAACGTAACGAACTTGCTTTACTCTGGGAGCCAGGTCACTCGGGAGTACCTTGTAATGAGACATCTGACCATTTGGCCACAGTTGGCTTAGACCAGGCATTCCATGATCTGCACTCCTCACTTCGGCCATCGAAGCCACCATCAGAAACTGGTTGAATACTTCGCTCAGCAATGACCGCGAGGCATCTAGGGGATGCAGGTGGACGAAACTCATGTTTCCTTCAATCTCAGAAGGTCCATCTAGTTTTTTACTCTCGTTGAGCAGACGGTACTGCAGACAACTTGTTGGACTGCTGACTGGTCAGTTCACGTGGCACAAACACCTGACTGTGATAGGTGTACATGACCACTCCATTTGCCAATCCTGCCTTGAAAAGCATGAGACGGTGTGGGGCGATACTTCTGGAGTGGGAGCACTGAACTTCTTCACGGATGGATCGAAACCGAACATCAGTGTTGGTGGAGGGATGTTATGTCGAGAGCTTTCCATCAACTCTAAGTTCAGTCTTCTGAACTGAGATAGTGTATTTCAGGCAGAAGTGGCTGCTATTAAGAAGGCAGTGGAGGCACTACTCAGGTGTGCGACGACAGTTAGAGGTGAGCTTTTATTCAGATAGCCAAGCAGCTATCAAGTCCTTAAATGCGCTGGAGGTGAGCTCTACCTTTTGGGAAGTGTTATCTCATCCATCTTGCTCTTAGTTAAACTGTAAAGGTTTCCTGTGCTTTGGGAGACCATTCGCTATTCGAGAGATGAGGAACATTTGGGGTTGCCTAAAGTGGTCCTGCTGCGATGGCCACTGTGTGTGTTGCTGCCTATTTGCTGATGTTTGGCAGCATCGATGGCGTCTAATGCAACCGCAAAGCTCTGTAGTAGGGGCGGCAAAGCAGCAAGTTGGGCTGACTTCCAAAACGTCAATTGCTTTGCATACGTACAAAGTATAATATTCCATAACGCCGAGCTACAAAATATTGACAATGTATACTTTTCCAAAACGCATAAGAAAAGTTATCGAAACGCATCGCCAGAGCAATTAGTGCATCAGAAACAATGTTGATGCTTCGTTTGTTATTGGTTACCACTGGTGTTTTAAAAATGTAGATTTCAGAAAAATTGTTCATTGCTATTTTGAATATTTAAAATATGCAATGTATATGGTTGCAATGTGTCGCAACTCTGCATATACAAACAGTTTGAATATCGCAGTATAACAGTTTCCAAACATTGCATTAATACGTTTTGGAAGTCGGCCTTGTTCATTCGCGCGGCTGGTGTTGCATTTGACTGTTCTGCTTTCCAGTAAATTTTATTCGTACAGATGGATTAGGCTTTGCTCTTGGTTAGTCGCCACGTAGAGGTTGGAGCGGGATGTACTTAGGTGGAGGACGGGGAGTTCATTTGTTGCTTAGCTTCGTGAACTAGCAAATTTTCATCAGTGCGGCAGTAATGCCGCTTTTATTACGTGCCTCGAACAGGCCCTCTGCCTTGACAAAGATTTGTCAAAGAAAAAAACATCAACCGTTTAGCGGCGACGTAAAACTTAATCTATGGTAAAACTGTAGACCGTATTTGGCATGTTATGCGTGCAACTCTGAACTTGCTGAAGAGCGAATGTTCCCCTCGCCTAAAACTAAAATTGAGAGTACACAAATGTTTTTGTACAAATGGAATATTTGTTTATATGCAAACTTATTTTAAACAAGTAATTTATAAATTTCAAATTTTGTTTAAAATTAAACACATAATTTGAATTAAAAGGATGCTTCATTTTTTTTTGATACAAACAATACATGGAAAATAATCTGACAATGGACTCTGAACAAAGAGTAGTGGTATGCGTTGTTCCATTCGCTCGATTACAATGCAATCCTACAAGTGCGAATATCATGTGAACATTCCGGGCTATGTTACTGTAGACGTTTTACTATGGAGCTGTCGGTTGAATGCTTTAGTGACGTGATTTCTTCGATTTGTGACCATGGTCTCGACTATCATCGCGTGAACGTTTGTGGCTACTGCTGCTGTGATGATTGCTCTTATCCTTGCTCTTGTCTTTGTGTGATGATGAGGAGGAATGGTGTTTGTCACGACTGCGATCATGATGTTTATCCTTGGAGCTAATTAAAAAAAAAATAAAAATTTAGACAAAATTTATTAGAACAGTGCAAAATCAATGATTTAAAATTTTGTGTTGGGCAGCAAAGTGAAAAATTTTGATTTAGTTAAATTCATTTAGAGTATGCCAATTCGAATGTTGAGTGGAAAAGGAATTTTGTTTTGTGTGTGTTTGCTGTTACAGTGAATAACAAACCTATGCCCGCTCGAACTGGCATGCTTGGCAGATTTTGAATGTGACGAATTTGAGGTTGAGGCAGTGCTTTTATTCTTTTTACTTTGACGAAGCTGCACTTCACGATCTCTGCGACTGCAGTAAGATTACGATGTTTACGAAATAAAGAATTAAATATAGGTAGATATACATACATATTTTTGTAAATATATATCAAAATCGTTAACACTTTTGAATTGGTCATATTTGTTCATACTTTTGCCCCAAGAGCGATACTACATACCTACATACCGCACACCGTCGTCAAAAGGGGAACAGCTCAAAATTACATGTTTGCCAGGAAATGCAAAAAAACTGTATAGCATATCGTCGTTTAAAGTACAAAACCGCGTATCAACATAATGCCAAAACCGCGTATGTGAGGTTGTATAAATTAGTAAAACACTCATTTCAAAATTATTCTCTCTGTTATGAAGCAATCGCATTTCTGGCTAGTATATTTCAGAACGAATGGATAAGGCTTGAGCCAAGAGCTCGGTGAGCAAATCCAGTTTTTGCAGAACGACCATACGCTGTTTTGTACTTTAAATGACGATATGATAATCATATAGACAAGGGAGACTTTAACTTAAGTTGCTTTAACCAATTATAACAAAAATTTGCTCCAGCTTTTGCAGAAAGGTAAATAAAATCTGTGTAAATTTTTAGCGCATAATTTCAAAAATGCCAAATTTTGAGTTGTGCCTCTTTTGAAAACGGTGTGCGGTATGTATATTTATACATAGATAAGCTAAGATTTTTCAATTTTTTCTCACCTATGTTTTGAACTCTTCGAGTGCTTCTTTGAATCATAGGTTTTGCCATTCGGTTTGTCGTCGGTGTATTCTTGATTGCGATCTTCTTCTGCAGCTTCGCGCTCTAAATCAGACCAATCCTTTCCAGATTCCTCATCCGAGCCCAGTTCTATGTGAGAAAAAAAGTAAGTACACATCTCTCTTGTACATAATAAAATAAGCTCCCACCTTCACTATCTTCACTTTCATCCTCAGATGCCTCCGAGTATTCGGAATCTTCCTCTGATTCTTCCATGGACTCAATATCGGTCGGCTCATATGCCTCATCTTCTTCCGATTCCTCTTCTTCATTTTCACCTTCACTGCCCGAATCAGCATCCAAGAATGTCCAACCACCCTGTTCGAAGAAACCCTCCGGATCGTCAGTGATTGTTTTCATAATCTTTGCCCAATTCAAAGACTGTATACCCTCCGAGTAACGGATATCACAAGAACTGTGGTAAAAATTACCTTTAAATAACTGATGCTTTAAATAGAGTTTATCTCAAACTTACTTCAACCACTCCTTAACGTGATCAAGCAAATTCATGGGAATTGCGTTGACCATTGCCACCTTTTTCTGATAGTCCTTGAAAACGAAAATCATGTCGAAGTTACGCAAATGGAATTGTACACGTTCGAAGTGTACCAATTCGACGTCGTCGAGAGTTATAACAAATGGCGGCCATTCTGTCAGATTAACCAAGCTGCCCGAAGTTGGCTGCAACGTAACTGTGCTACGGAATGGTGCGCCTGGGAAACCCAACTCGCGGAATGGCGTGTCGAATTCTACTTGTTGCTTAGTCATCGACTCCACTTTCTCGCAGAAGCTCTTGAATGCCGTTTTTAATTTATGACGCAACTCACGTTCAGCCTGCTCAGCCGCCAAATCATCACGGTCGTGCATATGCTGATGTTTGCCTAAATCCGTGGTGATCTCACCTACTTCTGTGTAGAATTGAACATCAACATGCTTCTTCTTGCCAAACATAATGGCATGTTTCAGGTGGAAGTGCAACAAAATAATCATTTCACCATCACATGGTTGAAAGAATGAACTCTTGATGTTGTTATAGAGAATATCCACCTTATCGCCACGTACGGATATGTAGCGAAAGCCGTTGGTATGTGCCTCT